CATACTTTGGGTAACAGATTAAATTTAAATGAAGTAGGTGCCTAAGAGAGTTGTGAGCTCTCCTTGTTAGTGACTGAAAACTTGAGGAGAAAATTCCTAAGGGAATGATTCTAATCCATGGGGTACAGAAGCTAACACTGCCAACCCCTTCCAAGCGTGGGTTTCTGAAAAGTGAAATGGTGTGATTAAGCTGCACAGTGTAATGGGCTCTGGACGAGCAGCTTGCGTGGCAGGTGTGAAGATCTTTGCCTGAATGTTCCGGTTCTGAAGCAGAGGCGAAGGAGACCAACTACCTGATGCATCGGGGATGGTACTGTAAACGAATCCTCTCACTTTTGAAGTCTTAGCTCCCATGGTCTCTCTAGCAAAGATGGAGTCCGAGGTCATCATTCCCACGTGTTCCTCCTGTCAACAACCCAATTTCCTGAGTGATAGTTTTCTGGTCTTGTAAACAATTTGACCAAATCTTTCTGAGTTTTTAAAGATGCCAATATTTATTCTTGGTTATTAATTTGATTGTGTATTTCTTAGAGTTTATTTAGGATGAACACACCATCAATAATGTAGACAAAGCCTGCCTTGTTTCAAAGAGTGGGCTTCTGTTAGTTGCTGCAGGTACCATGAGCCTTCTGTTATCCAAGCCCTTGGGGAGTAAATAAATGCATGGTTTTCCTATAGCACGCAAGCTCTTACAAGCCTTCAGTGTCCCACACAAGCATTATTTTTTTCAGGTCGCTTTATTGGGTTGTCTTCAAACTCTCTGTAGGCCTAACGTCAAGATTTCTCAGACAGTGGTTAGTCTGTGAAGCATTTGTTTCTTAGGCTTCCTTTATAAAGCTAATTCAGAACTCAATCAAGGGCGAGCATTTGGTGTCTTGGTTCTTCTTAGCCCCTTTCCATATCAACAAAACAGAACTACATGTCAAGGTAGAATCTGGAGAAAGTACTATTATCCAGTCGAAGCTGGGTTATAGGGTAGATTTGTCTACACCGCATGAGTCAATTGTATCGACTGGATAGTCTCCAAATCTTGAGGCAGTGTGGACCCTGGCTGAGTGACAACATTCATACAGATGGCATAAGTAACTCATAACATTTAAAAATGAACTGTTTCTTTGACGGCACCGTCGTCAGATCCGTCTTGGTAAAATGTGGTTGGAGCTGCTAGCTCAGCTTTCTCACTTACTTCAAAAAGTATGCAACGTCCATCCCCATCTGTTATGCGATTCCAGGCTAAATCGCTGTGCTCGGGGTGTGTTTCCAAGGCAGCACTTTTATGGAGGTGTTCTGTACAAGCCTCCAGGTGTCAGCAACCTGCCCAAATGGTTCTCATTAACTCCACTGGGAGGCGATGACATCTCGAATGTCACGGCACCTCTCGGAGCGGCTAATTGTGTTCCATTCTAAAATAGCCGTGTGTTTTGTACTATAGGCCCAGATGCCTCTGAATTAGCAAACTAATCGAAATAAACATAAAAGTCTCACCAGCGTGGACCTTCTACAGTGGTTTGTCCGCTTCCCGTCAAAGTAGGTAGAGCTAGGTAGAGCAACTTTATATCGAAGCAGCCGGTCCCTTCGATGTCTGTTGATCAGGATGAAGGACTGGCTGATCTCATTAGGTCACTTCTAAAGAGCTCATTATATGTGCTTGTGACTGCTTCCAAGCCAGACATGCAAATGAAATCATAATGTTCCAGGAGAGACGAAGTGTCTTAGTATACCTAGGCAGGTTCATAACAGCTCCCACAGAGAGCCATTCTGATTACAGGAGTGGGGGAAGGGAGGGGAAAGGAGAAGTAGTGGGTGGGATGGCAGAACCTGTATCCAGAAATGAACAGTCTAGGAGAGAATATAAAATAAATGAATATCGTTAAGGATGGCATTTAACATAAATAAAGTCTCAGGAATTAGTCATAAGTCAACCTCTCAAATAGGGAAGCGGGTTCACCTGTGAGGCTGATCAAACACTGAAACGTGGCTCTGAGGAGAAGCCAGGATGATCTTGAAGTGCATTAATTTTCTATTCACGAGGAAGAAGGTTTAGTATTGGTGAGAACACATTTAGACGGTTGTTTCAGTGTTGAGTCCTGGGTTCAAAGAGGATCGACAGCTCTGTGGGCCTCCAGGAGTGGGGGAGAATCTCAGATCTTTATCAGGTGATGAACAGGAAAATGCCGGCATGTGCAGGCGGAGCCAGGAGACCCAGGGGGAGTCCTGTTTGTTGCCCAAAGCCTGAAGTTCTGTCTTGTGGCAATGGATTCCACTCATACTGGTTAACCCTAGAAATGGGCAATAAGAATGGCGGGTAGAAAATGTCCAGGGTGCTAGCTGCACCGGACTGTACCGGGGAATTTGATCTCTGGGTGGAAATATGGCAGAAAAGGTTGCATTTAAGGTCCAGTTCAGTTCCCGAAGGACTTTGGGTCCATAAATGCTCATCGCCTTTGAGGAGTGTGTACTGTCCAGCTTCTTGCTTCTTTGGAGACAGAAGAGATAATGCCCTTAGAAGGTCAATAGATTTATTGTACTTGAGTGTAATAAAGAAAACTAGAACTTTCCATTACCAGGGTACCCTCTTTATACCGAATTAAGCTTTTCTCTTAAAACCACCAGGCAACTGCTAGTCTCCACCAGCAGGGAATTTGGAATGGCGTGGGTTGCATTTTCAAAACACGAATTCAGAGTTGAAAAAGCCAAAACAATGGTCGGTATCGGCGTACTTGCATTGACCCTACTCTTAAAAAATGCAAAAGAAGCTGAGCTCAGAAAGATTGGGGGACTTTGGTTCGTACGACAAAACAAACACAGCTGACGCTGTGCAGGCGTTCTTGGAAGCAGGCCTTTGCGACTCTGCTGAAAACGCAGTTCATCAGGCAGGAAGACGGTTTGCTGAATAATATGCAGCAAGTTTATCGATGGGTATATCGAAGAGATGTCACCATGGTGTCGGGTCAGTGATCTGTGCAGAGCACCTGTTGGCCTTGGTAACAGAGGCGGCTTTTTAAACTGACGATATAAACTGTGGCGTCTTTGCAAGCGAACAAGCTATTGCCTATTAACTTGGATCATCAGGCTGTAAAGTACCGAATACAACATGACAAGGTGTCATCTGCCACCTCAAACCATGACATACCTACATGGGGAAGCGTCATTTATGTCGCTGAGAGAAGACCAAGGGTTAGAAAACCCAGAAAAATATGTTCTCCAGCCTAGCTGTTTTATTTCGAGCTTCTCTGCCCGGATCATCACTGCACTTGGAATGATGCTGGAGACCATCTTGCTGTTCTGAAGTGTGCTCATCTTCCCCTCCAGTGTGGTCCTGTTCATGTTTCTTTTCTCTGGTCAGCAGCATAATGAATCTGCCTTGTCTCCGCCTCCCATGCAGCTGTTCTAAGTGTAAAGTTTTCGCAGACAGGCGTTCTTGAGAGGCAGTAGAGTATGACTTCGAAGCTGACACGTTTTCTGTGCCTTCAACATGGTGGGTTGTGATTCTGTACGGTTATACATGAAAAAAAAGCAAGCAAAAACTCTGTTTCAAAATCAGGATCTTTGAATCTATGATATTCCTAGTCAAAAGGAAGCTAGCTGAGAGAAGATGGGAAGACAGCTCGAGTCACCAAGCTTATTGGGGGAAGATTTTTGTGATACAGGGAAGCACAAGGTACATTATTCATGCAAATGACATTTGGGGGCATGCAACAGTAATATCAAAACTTCTAAAATGCCCTCAAGGAAGCAGAAGGATCACTCTTAGTATAATTCTCATTCTAACCCTGTCAACATCAATGAACTCACCAATGGGCTATATCCATCTTTGTCCTTTTGTCACTCAGGAAATGTCCTATGGTGCTTGCCTCAGATGGCCCTGGAGTGGTTAGATGTTATATCCCCAACCACATAAATCTGTTTTATGATGAGGCAGGTATTTGGGATTTCTGTGCAGGAGGCGATTGGGTATGAGCCACAGACCACTCCTCCGCCCTCTTTGGGCTCAGCTGTAGCTGGAGGGAACGGGGTGGAGGTTGAATGGGAGACGGGTGAGCAGAGGAAATTTAGGTCAAGTTTGCTTCTCATCACCACTTCGTGATCAATGCGACTACAGCCGCTCTCCCTTCTCTCTGCTCCACAGACAGCCAGCACCATGAGCCAATGCCGCCCCCTCACCGCCTCCTGCTCCCATCAGGCCAACCAAGTGGATAAACCCAGGGGAACAGAAGGAAGATCTTTTAGGACAAGCTGTGTTCACTCTTTAGAAATAGCATAACTGTGTGCAGACTGTTTTCTCCAGAAGTAGGGGCAGAGACAGAAGCGTCCCTTCTCAGATACTCTTCCCAGCCAGTCGTAATATTGCTGGTTTTCCCTCTAATGGAGTCAGTACCCTGTTTGCTCTCATGGGTCTTCAGTCAGAATCCATCTAAATTACAGGAGACTCTCCTGGCCTAGGCTTTCATTCTTGCCTTTCTCCCAGACATATGTAGCATATGCCAAGCTGACCTCCTATTTACTGTGTCTTTATCTCAAAGGGTGAGGTGCAAACCCTACTCTTCTACTTCCCTCTAAAGTTTTGCTAAAGCTGAGTCATTTCCTTTTTTTTTTTTCAAATAGTCCACTACTAACTTAAGAGACTCTTTGTTATTGTAAAAATAGAATTAAGGCCAGAATGGCACCACATTTGAGACGCTCAGCATAGACCAGAAGACAGAAGTGAGATGTCTTGAAATCTGACAAACTGGAGCTCAAGGATGCTAATTTTGAGAAAAGAAGTCCTGGGCATCCAGGTTTCCATGATTCCTAGTCAACACAAACTCCTACTGGCTAAGAGGGAGGGCGGGATCCATGGCCCTCATTGACCGTTCTTAAAGACCTCCTTTGCCAAGTTTGAAGACCAGTTCCTCCCTGGGAGGGGCAACAGTAGCTCCTGAGATCCCGGGCTGGGTGTGGTGTGTGGAGGCTCCATCGCTCTGACCCAGGTGTTTTATTCTGTTTCTGTTCCCTTACAGATCTCTCAGCATGGCGGCTCCTCTACTTCACTTTCGTCCACAAAAGTTTGCAGCTCAATGGATGAGAATGACGGCCCTGGGGAAGGTGATGCGCTCGAGAGAAAACACAGCTTGCAGGGGGGATGGAGGAAGGGTTAGCTAAATTTACTCTGAAAACTCTAATGTCTAGAACACGAGTAGCCAAACTCCAGAAGGTTGTGTGTGTGTGTGTGTGTGTGTGTGTGTGTGTGTGTGTATGTTGGGGGAGTGTCATTGAGGACAGGAGTGGGTGACTTCTACAGTCAAGAGCACCCACTGTCTGAGAATGGGAAGGAGGAGCTGGCCTGAGTCCTTGCACATCCACTATGGGTGTGGGATGCCTAGGAAGACCAGTTATTACCTGCCCTTGTGCTCCCAAGCTCTAATCCCTTTTTGTAAGCGAAAAGACAATTGTGCCTTGTGTGTGAGCACCTGTAGGCAGACTCCAATTAAAGGAAGTTCAATCCATCAAACCAGAACTTGACAGGAAGAAGCCTGTAATATGAGGATCCTGCTTGTTGGGGTTTCTGTCCTGCCCAGTTCCCACAGTCCTTTGGTCCCAAAGAATCACACAGAAGGTCTACGTAAGTTATAAAACTGATTGACCCATTAGCTCAGGCTTCATATTAGCTCTTATAACTTATATTAGCCCATTATTCTAGTATATGTTAGCCGCATGGCTCAGTACCTTTTTCAGCGGGGCAGTTCACATCTTCCTTCCTTCATATCTGGGCAGGACTGCCGGAAGAGCGTCCTTCTTCCCAGAATACTCCTGTTCTCATTGTCCCACCTCTACTTCCTGTCTGGTTGTCCCACCTATATGTTCTGCCTGGCTACTGGCCAATCAGCATTTATTTAAAACATGATTGACAGAATACAGACAATTCACCCGCACCAGAAGCCATTGCTGGTGACCACTGCTTGTAACTTAAACCAATTCGCATTAGAATTTGCCTGTAATGTCGGAAAATGACCTGCATTGCAGAGTTGACTTTTTTTACTAACTGGCTGAATGGTGTGTAACGCGCCTCTTCAGCTTCTTATAGATTGTTAAATGTCACCATTTCTGTCCTCCTGGGGCTGTAATCAGGCTCAAATCAATGAGGGGAAATAATCTGGAAAAGTGAGAGTGTCGAGATGAAGCCACTACTGCCCTCCTGTGCTTCACATGATGTTACTCAGTGTTTTCCCAAGTATGCCCTTTGAGGGACTCTGGGATGTTAAGCAAGACACATGACTCACATGGGAATTGTTTGTTTCTTACCATGGTTAGAGCAAGCGTTTTTGCATTATTGAAACCGTAGTTCAGCCACCTGGAAGTCTCCTTCATTCCAGGGTGCCGTATTCACCCAATGGAATGCAATGGTCCTTTACTAAGCCTAGGCTGAGTCTAGAGGGACCGGATCCTTTGTCAATAGTTGGTATGAAAATCCCAAACGTTGTGTCTTGGATGGGTGTCCCAAGGAGTGTTTCCACTGGAAGTCAGGGACAGGTGATCCCATCTGTAGGATCACAATTATCCCAAAGTCCACAGACAACTACTGTATTGCCCAGATACAATATTGCCAAGACCCTATCATCTGCCAGAAGGTTTGTAAATTCAGCTGACCCACAGCCATTTCCTCCCCTCCTCAAGGAGAAGATGAAAATCCCCAGAATGGGTCTTTCAGATACAGGCAAAATCCTGACTCTTTCCTGGATGGGGCAAGGGAGGAGGCATTGACTGGCTGCAGCCCTCACTTTATTCTGGGCACTGCCAAGGTAGCTTCCAGTGACCCAGGAGGGAACTGCCATCCACAGTGTGGAGGCTGTGAAGATGCCCAGGGGCATAGTAGAGGCAGGTGCCCTGCATTTCTACCTTACTGTCTAGAAAAGCCACCCCAGGTGTGCAGGTCAGGACAAAGGACCTCAATGAATTTCCATCCATTCTTCCCCGGTCTCACACATGCAATGTGAGCTACAAAACTTGCCGGGCACCCACATTTATTTTGAGGAGGGAGACTCAGTGTATGAGGACAGGCCAGGAGAAGTGCACTGTGAGGAAGCTCACTAGGCTCCTATGCCATTTTGCACGCGGGTTGCCTGGGAGAAAGCTGGGATTTATAACTTTAAGGCATGTACATTTTACAGCCCAGATTTAAGAGGCTTTTTATACCCCCGACATGTTAAAAGTGACGCATCATATTTATGTGACCCAAGCACGGCTGATTTAATTTTACAGCCTTGGATATTTAAAGCTTTATTAGCCATTTGTAAAATGTTTCAAAATACATTTTCAGAGGGAGACTATGTTGTGTTATTACAAAAACTGTTCTGCCCTCAGACATAATAGATATCAGGGTTTAAACTTGACATCTGCCATGCAGGTTGCTTGGTGAGAACATTTGTCCAAAATCTGCTCATTGATACTTAGTGCACAAGGAATTTTGCAGAGATATCCATTTCAGGATGGAGTCAAGCTCGGTGTCCAAACAGCAGGACCTTTTCATGCTTGTCGCATATCAGACTGCTCAGCGTTCCTCCAGAAATGCCTTTTCCTCTGCCCTGTCTGTAAGAATGTTATTTCCCTGCACACAATGGGTGTTCAGTGAAGGTCGTTGATGAAATGAGCATGAAGTCTGAAATGCGGGATTTCCTCCTCTGAATCCCCACTGCAGCAGAAAACATAGCTGCAGGGATATCGCTCCAGGTGGGCCCAATAGGCTGTCTTTAATTTATTGTTTGCCTTGGTGAAGACCATTGAGTCTGTATGAGCCTGTAAGGGAGGGGGGTTGCCCACAATTACTTCTGAATGGATTCCAGCCCGTGAGATGATGCTTAGGAGTGTATCTTTCATACAACATCTGTGGCCCCTTCCCAATCAATAAAAACACACCACTAATTCTTTCAGAAGAGTCGGAGGAAGGCTTCCAGATTCCTGCCACAATAACAGAGCGATACAAAGTTGGGAGAACAATAGGAGATGGGAATTTCGCTGTTGTCAAGGAATGCGTAGAGAGGTAAGCAGGGGGGCTGCTGGTGTGGGAAACTTAAAAGAAGTGCTTGGCTTTCATGGCTTCCATGGTCCAGTTTCTATTTTCAGACAGAGACACATATGGATTAAGTTAAGGTCTCAACCCCAGAGACAAAAGGAATTTAAAAAATAATAGCCAAAAAGCCATCTAAAAGCAGACTTTAAAAATGTAACAATTCCTGGGATGCTCCCTCAGATATAAATACTTCCATTTTTACCTAGTGTATGTTGAAAAGCTTTCCAGTTCTGTCAGGTAGTGTTTTTATATTGTTTTCTTGAGAAGTTATTTTGAAGATTTCCTCATGTGCATCTTCTCAAGAATGCTCTTTTCTAGAGTTTGACCTCTAATATACACCATCATAAAATTACACACGACAATGACCTCGAAAGGTTTCAAAACACCTGTGTGCTGTGTCTACAAACGTGATACTTGATCTGCGAAAGTGTCTTCAGACGGATTAACTGTACACCCAGTGTCTTCAGACTTCAGTGTACAGGATTACACCCTTTGGGTTTGGAGCCAGGGTCTTTGCGAGCTGTCCTCAAAGTCACCATCCTCCTGCCTCTACCTTCCGACTGTTAGGATCACGGGCATGTTCTCACGCCTGCTATATGCCCAGGCTCTTGATGACCGTTCAAGGATGCAGCTGGTGGATACCAAGTAGAGAGATGACGGTGTCGGCCAGCACAGAGTGACCTCAAAAACTTCAGCTCAGCGTCAGACTCTGAGTTCTGTTCTGAGGCTTTGGACAACTGGCATCTTCCCAGGGCTGTGCTGAGGGCATTTAGCTCATCCCTTGAGGCATCCCTCTGGTTCTCCATGTTCCCCTGCTCTCCTTTGTTACTCCTGGGGAGCTGGACATTCCTTGAGTTCTTGGAACCTGTAGAAGTATCTCTGCCCTGTGTCTTATCACTGCTTAGAGAGGACTCCTCAGGCCAGGAGATCGATGAGGAAGCTGTAGCACAGAAGAACCTGGGTCTGAGCCACTTAGAACTGGAGGCCTGCCTAGGGTACCACGCATCACCAGGATTTACCTGAATCAGCATCCCTCCTAGGTGCTGTACCCTGGCATGCCTTTCGTTCAAGACAGCAAAGCCCCCATTAAGCAGCCCTCAACAGTCGCTCTCAGATTTCACTCCCCTCTGTAATCCAGCTGGGCTGGGATGTTCACAGCCTAGCAGCCTGCTGTGGCACTTATTCTGCATGAGGTAGAGTCAGGAGCAACGGGTGGCCTGGAAATGTTCCCTGCTGATGCCGTCAGTTCACCTTTCTCCTCTCCCTTAGTTCCCGGTCCCCACTGATGGAACATGGCCTTCAATTGCCTGCCTGCCAGATCCAGAAAACATTCCATTACCACCTCGGCTTCCACCTTTCCTGAAACCAGACCAACCACTATTTACTAAACATCTATCCATTCATGGTCCTTAAAATATAGAATCCTGTTGAATTATAATAATCCAATCAGCTCAGTGTTGCTGTTCCCACATTATAAAAAGATAGATGGAAGACATTAAATATCCAAGGTCAGTCATCTGCTAAACATGTAGATTACAGTTTTGCTCCCAAACACAACTTAAGTCTGTCTATTGCATTGCTTCTAATAAAGAATTCCCCACAAGAGTCCAGTGAGGAACTTACCTATACCAAAGTCACTTTTCCAATGCACAACAAGGCAGAAATTAAATAGCGACAGGTATTCTAAGCAGGAAGTCTCTTTTTCTGGCAGACTGATGTGGCCTTTCTTATGAACTTTCTAATAATTTGTCAGCACTGACCCAGTGGCAGGTTACTGGTTGTTCTACTGGTCCTAAACCAGAATGGTATCTTAGTCCTAGGATCCCAGCCTTCTGACACTAGACAGTTCCCACTTCTCCATATTGGATTCTTTTTCCTTCCTTCCTTCCTTCCTTCCTTCCTTCCTTCCTTCCTTCCTTCCTTCCTTCCTTCTTTCCTTCCTTCCTTCCTTCCTCCCTCACTTGGCTTGTGTTCACTTTGTACAAGTTCACATCTTGGGCTCACTGCATGAAACTTTAGAGTCTAAACACCAGATTGCTCCTCAAGTGTCAGCCTCCAGCTCCTGCTGAGCAAGGACATATGGCTGGTGCCCTCTCTCTCCAGAGATATTATGAAACATTCTTTTAATATTTTACAGAGATCCAAGAAAATAAACACAAGCTAAGAAAGAATGTTGTGGATGGCACATACTGCTTGTGGGTGCATGGGTGCATTCTGCTGTGTTTTGGGGGATGGATGTGTATCAACATGGGTAAAGATGTTCCTCCTCTGTCATAATATGCCACCACAGGCAATTTTTCTACAGTGGGAACAGTAACAGGGTGACATGGGTCCTCTTTTCTGTGGGCCTTCTAGTGTATTCTTTGCTAGTGCGCTGCTGTTTGAGTCAATGAAGTTTTTTTATTATTATTTTTATAAACTCTTTGAGAATTTTATACTTTGTCTTTTGATCATCCATCTCCCCTGTCTCCTCCCAGATTCATTCCCCATTCCACACCCATCCAATGTGATGTCCTCATTTTGTTTTTAAATCCACTGCGTCTCATTAATGTCAACTAAGACAGTAGGCAAGTGACCATTCACTGGGCTATGTTAGAGCTACCAGGAGCCATGCCCTTAAAGAAATTTAACTCTCCTTCTCTCCTCAGCTATCAGTTACCAACAACTCCTCAGCTGGGGTGGGACTTCCTGCACTCTCTCCCGTCCATGCTTGGATTTTGTCAGGCGTGAGCTTGTGCAGGTCTTGTGAGCGAGCACCTCAGTAGTGCACATTCGTGTTTGCTTGTGGACATTCACCACCCTTGACTCTTACAACCTTTCCTCCACCTCTTCCACAATGACCCCTGACCCTTGGGAGAAAGGTGTGATATGGTACACCTAAGGCTGAGCATGCGAAGTCACTCTCAGCATCTTGACCAGTTGTGGGTCTTGGTGCCAAACCCCCGCGGCAATAAGGGGCTTCTCAGATGAGGGTTCAGGTATGTGCTAATCTATGGGTATGACAAGAAGCCATTAGGAGTCAATGTGATACTATGTCTCATTAGCAGAATGATAGACTAGCTATTATTATATGTCTAATCATGTGTCCTTGGCCCTGATAAATGTCAGGTATGGGTTTTATCTTGAGAAGCAGTCTTTAGTCTAAGAAGAAAGTGCCTACACCATGAAATCAGAATTTCTCTTCTTGTTAAACTTGCACTTGGGCTCCAGCTTTATGGAGGAAGGTGACCTTACCAACTGATTGCCCTAGACAAGGAGAAGGACAGAATTCTCTGGTACTGCTGCTCTTGTGCAGCCCAGAGAGCTCCATGAAAAGACATGAACGCAATGCAGGAGCAGAAAGCAAATGGCCTGCACTAGTATCAGCCAGCCTTAAAGCAAGTTCATTATTTTGGCTAAACAGTGCCTTGGTATTGCTATTTATGGTTTACATTTTGCATGAATACCAGCTTGGGGCTCATTTTTAAAAACTAGCTGCTCCTATAAACACATGCTTGTAGTAATTAAGGATTGTTATTACATGACTACAGTTCGGCTTCTAAGAAGTCAAGAAAGAATCGTTGCAGTATTAAGCCTAGTGGTCCTCTGTGGGGTGTGTGGTCTGATGTATGAGAGAATCTGGTAGGATGAGTGTTATAAAATGTTCTAACTAGAGAGGTGTCATATACTTTTTTATAAGCCCCAAGGCCACCAAACCCACCCTTGCTTTCCTCCTCTCCCAATTGTAGGCTTAGGACAGAATGTAAGATCCTGGCCTTCTGTCATCAGCTCAGGGATGTCTCCCTGTGATGGGGAAGCTTAGCCAATCACATTCTGTTTAGGGTGTGGCCCCCTGAGTTCAAGAAAAATGGATAAAACATCCAGGTGTCCTCGCCTCCCTCACTTTGTTCTCTTCGAGGTCCTGGTGTCCGTTGGATCCTTGGTTGTGTAAATGTTCTTTTTCCCCAATTAGTAAATCTTTTGTATTAAACTGGTCTGGTTAATTCTAACTTATCAATCGACCACACCCATCATCCCTGTATATATAAAAAAAAAAACTCCACCCTCCCAGATTCCACAGCAGCTATGGTTATGAAAGACTTCTAATAGAGAAAGGGGACTTCAAAGTCCTTACCACCTGGCTTTATGCCCCAGATTTAATCATAACAATATAATGTTTATTGAGTGTTTTCTGAGCTGGGGCCTGAAAGTACAGTAACAAGCATTTTTTAGAAATAATATGTATAACTAGTTTCTAAAATGCCCATGAAACAGATATTTTAATACTTGGCCTCCTAGTTTGTCTATAGAAAAGGCATGTCTTTGCCCTAAGCATATAAATGGAAATCCCATTAAATTCCATACAGAAGAATTTGAAATTCCCTTTTCTGAACTGCTCCTTTATCAGCCTCCTTCCAACCACAACCGTTTGGATCCAGACAGGTGGCTTCTATCTGTAAGGAAAAGGCTGGACTCGGCTGGCCTGTACCAGGGATGAAGGCTTGTTGTCTCAGGAGTTGTAGTTTACTGGAATTTCCTGTGTGCTGTGTTCTCTAACAATAGCCACGCCCTTGGGTTTGGTGCCAGAAGATCTTAGAAATACTGGCTCATATTAGCACTTGTTGAAAGGTGACAACATGGCTGATTCCTCTGTCCCACACCCATCAGGCATGTGGCTGGGCTATAGGGAAAGCTCAGGTCAGAGAAGCATGATTTTACCATGGGAAAGTGAGTTGATTTTAGCCATCCTTTTCGTTTTGCCTTGAGAATGACCACCACGAAGGCCCGGTGGGTACCAGACAAGCACTAGAAGTGTTTCCTCCTTCTCTGTCCTCTCTGAGTCTCATCTCTGCTTCTCCAGCAGTTCCCTCTCAGGCTCTGACGCTGATGGGACACCTAGAGGGTGTTCTGCTTCTCAGGCCTGTTCCTGAGTGACCATGAGAACTGTTCAGGCAACTGTCATAGCCACTCTTGTGGATCGAGGACCCCAAGAAAGACTGACTGGGCACAACAGATCACACTTAGACTCCCAGCACTCCAGTAGCTGATGCAGGAGGATTATCGGTTTGAGGCCAGCCATTTAGGGAGGCCCTGTGTGTGGAATGGGTGGTGGTTAATTAAAAGAGTAGAAAAGGCCAGTTACAGACGGGTGCTTTGCAACCTTGCTGGTGACTTCCAGGAGAAGGAACAGCACTTAGCAGGGCTGGAACAACCACCGTGGCCATGTTTCCTGTGTAAACGTGGCTGCGTTACTCCAGATTGGTCTGTGCTAACAGATTCATTGTCCTCAGTTGGGGTAAACCCACAAACATCTGCAGACGGCTTTGTACAGAAAGAACAGAGCCCTTTCAAAAATAGAAACACTGAGACCTACAAGCAAGAAATTAACTCCCAATGAAAGGACTCAATGGATCCCAAATTAAGTTCTACTTTAAAACTTTTCTCTTTGCAGGTCAACTGCTCGGGAGTATGCCCTGAAAATCATCAAGAAAAGCAAATGTCGAGGCAAAGTACGTACCAGGTTTACTCTTGAGAAGTTTGTGTTCAAGGGTAGAATTGTCAACCGGTTTCTTAACCCAGTGCAGCACAAGAGACGCCTTCTGATGGAACAGAATGTCACAAACTTAGGGGGACGTTCAGTCATATACATATTTCTGGAATAAAAGTAATTAGGAAGATTTGATTTCATTTTTCCCCTCTGCTCACTTTATTGTCTTCCCTTACATTTGCTGTCTAAGATTCATTCTGCCATTTTCTAGAAAATTAGAGTTGTCATGATATGTCTTGAGTTGAATTATTTTAGGATCTTCAGAATGCTGTTACGTTTGCCCCAGAATACATCTCCCTTATCTGCAGGTGGTCGTCCTATTTTGAGTTGTATGGTTCCTCATACATTTTGAATGTATTAAAATGGCTTCTCCTTTGTACAGGAGCACATGATCCAGAATGAGGTATCTATCTTGAGGAGGGTGAAGCACCCCAACATTGTCCTCTTGATCGAAGAGATGGATGTGCCCACTGAGCTGTACCTCGTTATGGAATTAGTGAAGGTGCGCACTCTTCCGTTGTCATGTTTGAGGTTGGCGGTGACCAGAACATGCCAACATTGTGGTAAAAATGTTACACCGTCATTTTACCAAAGAGAGGTCCCTTTATGTGTTGCAATTTTTATAGACACATTTTATTATCGAATCACTACTTTACTTACCTTGTAAATTATATTGTCTCCAACTTACAGAATAGAATTTCACCATAGCCTGGTTCTTTAAACCAACAGCTTCAGCTCATTCCTGTTGCCCTGCTGTGCACTATTAAAAACATGATGAATTGCCATAGTTTTATTGGTCAGCACCCTGTAGGTGGATTTTTGTGGGGAAGGTGAAACCAAGTGAATTTGGGGATGAGAAATAGAGGCATTTGATGACGTATCTAGGGACAGATCTCAGTCTGATGGCCAACTGTAAGCCGGCCTGATAAGTACAGCGAAGCCCTTCCTCACCCTGCATAGCCTTTGTGAATTCTATCTGCAAAACTAAGATGTCTGAACTAGGGGGAGAAGCGTCCTGTCTGTGCCAGAAAGAACTGCCTTGAGGCCTGGAGCCTTGGGCACCAGGACAGCACCTGGCTCTTTGCAGGCTCTCGCATACAACCACACATATCCTGCTGTCTAACTAAGGGCAAGGGGTTCAGCTAGACCACAGAGAACATCCCGCCTTCACCGGTGGCTCAGAAACAAACTTCATACCTGTGTGACAGCCCGGTCTTTGAGAGAAACAGGAAGCAGAGAGAGAAAACATTTGTTTAGGTTTGTTTGTGGAAGAAGAACCATTGCTTGGCCATCAGGGAGAGAGAATTCCAGGGTGGGAGCTGCACATGGCACAGAGATGCCAGCACAGCTTGTGAATCCTGAAACCTGACAGCTACAGGGCTATGTCTCGTTTTTGGGGGTTTTTTTTTTCCTGTGATTAAAGGGGAAATTAAGTTGCTCACTATGGAGTGACAGACATCTGAATGTGTTTAGACTCTGGGGTCAGCTGTTTCATAGTCAATCTTCAAGAATGAAGTAAATACTTTTAGTAAAGCACACCCAAATTCTCTGAAAGGACTTCAAGTAAGTGCAGCTTAATATCAGGCCCAAATCGTAGGTTGACTGAGTACTGGAAAAATATAAAGGAACACAGGAAGCAAAGACTCAGAAGAATAGCACCAGGAAACTGTCTTTGGTGTTCCCACCTTGCCCTCCCTCTCTCCCTGTCTTTCTTGTCTTCAGAACAGGCTGTGGGTCCCATTTTCCATTCCTTACAGAGAAGCACATTATTGAAAAAGAAAGCGCACCGCCCACTCCAAGAGAACTAAATTTAGCAAGTCAGAGACAGCGAGAGAGAGAAAGAGAGTGTGTGTTCCGCACGTGTCTTAATAATTTCAAAGGCAGAAGAACATTCTGTTAAGGACAGAGCTTGCAGAATTACCTGTCTTTCTGGGGGAGTTTTAGGACTCTGAATTTGTACTTCAGCTGGCAGTTGGTGTGTGGCAGGTAGCACATGTCACCAGAATCCCCCAACATGAGGCTTCTCAGAGGGAACCCAGCTCCAGCTCCTCTTCCCTGGTGAGGAGCTGTGGAGGCAGTCACGTGTCTGCTGTCACTCTCATCACAGTTTTTCTTTAAGCTTAGGATAAAATGTCATTAATCTCCCATGCCGGGGAGAGAAGTCGCCAGAGAGTCTTTTGCAAAGCAGAAGCAGAGAAAAAGCCCTTAGGAACCCCCACATTCTAGTCCGTTCCTCATCTCCTTTCTGGTTTGTCCGTCCCCTCCGCGGGCAGCCTATTGGCCCATCTGTCAGTATCTGGCTCAGCCAGCTGCTCTCTTCCAGGGCGGAGACCTTTTCGACGCCATCACTTCCACCAGCAAATACACAGAGCGGGATGCCAGCGGGATGCTGTACAACCTGGCCAGCGCCATCAAATACCTGCACAGCCTGAACATCGTCCACCGTGACATCAAGCCGGAGAACCTGCTGGTAAGGGGACAGCCATCCTCTGGCAGTTTGGCTTCCAAGGCCTCCATAACGAATGAACATCCCCGTCCGCCCCCCCCCCCCCCCCCCCACACACACACTCGTCTTTTTTTCCCCCTCTTCTTTCTTTTTAACTGTTTGCCTTCTGGGCCCGTTTCCACTGTACTCAGTGTCTCTTTAAGGTGATCTATAAGAGCTCTTACACCTTCAAGAACACTAATTTCTTATGAACAGGAACAACATTCTGAAAAGCAATCAAAGGATGACTGGTAGTTAGCATCATGCATGGGCTCGGACCAGATAGTGAACAGGAACATTTCCATGGCTGAACTTAAGTTAACCCTGCTAACTTAAGAGAAAAGAAACTCTTGTGTGTGGAGGGGAGGGAGGGAGCGTGTGGGTCCACGCGTGTGCACAGAAGTGGGTGTGGTCGGGTGATTACCTGAGGTCCGTGTGTGTGTGTGTGTGTGTGTGTGTGTGTGTGCCCAGTGTCTTCCTTTCCACCTTATATTTCGTCACAGAGTCGCTCACTGAAATCAGAGCCCACCCTCACCCATTCAGCATGTCTGGCCAAACTGGCCAGCCGCAAACCTGTGTCCTCCTGTTTCCACATCTCCTGTTCTGGGATTACAGGCATGTGCCATCAGGCCTGGTTTTTCTGTAGGTGCGGTGATCCAGACTCACTTTGCTGACCATCGGGACTTCTTTTCCTATCCTAGCTTTGCGTCTTATGATATGGTCCAAAACCAAAGAGAAATGAACCATAAGAAGTAGATGTTATCACTTCAGCACACAAAAAAAAAAACAGTCCACAGGAAAAGATATATTTTAGAAAATGGATTGTGTGGGGATGTGTGGCTCAGTTGGTAAACTGTTTGCTTAGCCTTCATGAATCCTTGGGTTCTGATCCCCAGAACAGCATAAAACTGGCTATGGTGGTACAAGCCAGTAACACCAACACTTGGTAGGTAGGAAAATGGGATGGCCAGAAGTAGAAAGCCATCCTTGGCTACATAGGAAGTTCAAGACCAGCCTGGGCTACATCGTGACCTTTATCTAAAACCAAGTAAAGCAGACAACAGCCCAGAGCCCTGATGTCTTTCTTTCCTTTCTGTTTGCTTTGTTTCCCTGTCTGAGTCCTCCATGCCATCAAATGAGACTCCTTCTCGTGCCCACAGTCCTGGTGGTCCAGATGGAAGCAGAAACAAGGCGGGCAGAGCTACACTGGGAAACACAGTAACACAGCTTCCACTGATTCTCCGGGCTAGAAACTGTGATTGTTCTCCCATCCAAAGATGGCCTTTTTTCTCTCTTTTGTTTTCCACTTTTGCAAATATTTAAAGTGCAGATTGGTGTGTTAAGAGACTTAATACCGCTCTGCTAAGTCAGAAATTGATGTCTGGTGACTCTGCAGCCGGCTGCGTGGGGAGATCAGAATGATCGTGTCAGACGTGGTAGCACACACTTTTAATATCAGCACTGGGGAGGTAGAGGCAGGCAGATCTCTGGGAGTTGGAGGCCAGCCTGATTTAGATTGCGAGTTCCAGGCTGGCCAAAGCTACATAGCAAAACCCTGTCTCAAAAAATTAAAATAAATCCACAAGTGCATCTTAACTCCCACCTCACACATCAAAGCTGATGAGGCTTGCTACTGTAGAATCTCTTACGTGTTCAGCCTCATGCTAGGGGCTTTTAAAAATACCTAGTATCTTGTTTGAACCCCACAGCCACCATGTGGAGTAAAATCTTTAACACCTCCAATTCACAGGTAAAGAAACTGGGTACCTAGAATTTAAATGACTTGCCCAAGGTGATAATATAAGAAGCAAGTAGAAAACCCAAGATCTCAACTGAGTTCTGACCCACAAAGTCCCTAGACGGCAGTGTGCTCTGAGTCAGGAGGAGTCTAATCAAGTGCCACTGTGGGCCAGGTTCCATGCCAGGGAACTAGACACATTCCTTCATGGAGCTGACATTCAGGCATAAAAGGCAGGCATTCACGGAATAAATATGCACACAATTAGCTCTTTGCAATTATGTCGGTAATCTTGTAGCGGCTGGCTCATGCGAGCGGCCGAGGTCAAATGGCAGAGGTCTGACTTAATTGCACCTCAAATTCCAAACCCCTGCAGCAGCCTAAACATTCTCTCTGCCTAGCTGCCTCCATGAACTGTAGCAATTTTCTGTCATCCACAGTCATTACCCCTGTATCCTGACTCATGTGGCATCGCCTCATGCGAACAGGCTTACAAGCGGGGCTTTGTTGAGTAATTTTTTAGGCTCCAAGCCTCCAAGCCTCCGTGATTAGAGAGTAAGGCTTCATTTCCCTCCACGGTACTGGTTTGGGGCACCCATTGTTTATTTGTTTCTCAGCACACCGTTGTCTATTTCTGTAAATGCCGTCTATGATTGCATAGCAGTGTGCTTTTTTTTTAATTGTAGTTTGCAGGATATTTTTAAATTCTGTGATCATTGGAACACACTTTAACTTAAATGAACCAGAAAGAAAATATATGTACTCTTCTCATTTTCTCCCCCTCTTCTGCTTTGATTTGAAATATACAAAGAAACTGTTTGCAGCTATTCACAATTTTGAAAATATCCACATGGAAAATGAATAGATTTGCTTCCCCACTGTAGTGGTTTCCTACTGTGAGGAGATGCGATTGGTGCATTTTCTTGGTGATAAATCTATCACAGAATAAATAGAAAAGCAGAGCACATTTAGCGGAATGAAGATGACATTTCTAATTACACATGAGATCACTCTTAGTTCCAAATGCTGTTGAGGTCTCCACGGGAATGGGAACGAGCCATTGTGGGGACCACACCTTCACATCCTCAGACTTTACCAAAGCCACAGAGCTCTGCTCCAGTGCCATCCAGTTCTGTGACCTTGAACAAGCTCCTTAATCCTCCCCAAGCCTCCTTCATGGGGGTTTTATGTCAGGTCCTTTCCTTCTTATCTCCCTTTTACTTGTGGCAGAAAATTCAAACCACCTCACAGTAACATTGTGCTTGGGAAGATGCCATCTTCTATTGTCATTGCTTTTAAATTTTTACTGTTCACCCATATATAATTTTTTCTGTTTTGTGGCAAAACATAGATCTATAGATTACCTTAGAAAGGTGTTACAGTAAACTTAATATAAAAGTTTGAATGTGTTTACTGCCTATAGGAAACTTAGCAGATACAGACCAATCCCTCCTTCCACCTTCAGCTCTACTCTTTCACATGAGACCCCAACATCCTTCTGAATTGTTGCATTGTTAACAAGTCCTCTGCTAGTTAAGGGTTTGACAGAGAGATTTGTAGCTAGCACAGTGACTTTTATAAGTCTCAAATACAGATTTCATCTTACATAGTATAATCGGGTATACAGAATTCTGGGCATGTTTTACTGTTAACTCTAACGGCGCAAATACTAAAATGTAGCATAGCTTTAAAGATCTGTACTGATCGTGTAAATGATTGATCTGTGTTTGATAAGGTCAAAGGATTTTGATGGGAAAACGTGCCCTCCTCTGTCGCAGTGTGTTCTACACTTTAGGGGAGAACTGACAACTGACCCAGTGAAAACAGAATTTAGAAATTGATTTTTGCATCAACCTTAACATTTTTCCTCCATGTAATCCGTGTGCTTATTTGCTTTGCATGTTATTAAGCCTAGTATATCATAATCAAATGGCTGTGTGGCAAACCGGTGACCGAATGGATGGACCAAGCATGGGAGTGAGTGGCGCCTCATTAAAGAATAGAGGACAGAAGGTCTCAACCCAGTTACCAAGAGTCATCTTCGCTCCCCTGTAGACCTCTCGGAGGGCGGGGATGGCACAGTAATCTCCTAGCCTCACTCCTGCATGGGACTAGTATGCATGTACCAAACAAGGCAGATGATGACGAAGTGTATTTGTTGGACACAACAGGGCCATTGCACACATGAACACACAGTGGCTGGGACAACATATGTAAGTCCTGCCCCTGACCATGCCGGCCAAAATCCCAGCATGCTTGTATGGGGAGGGGCTCATGAAATCTCACCCTTACCTGAGGAGCTATTGGCAGTGAACGGCAGCTGGGGCAGGGAAAGTCAGTTGTATCTAAATGATGCCAGCCCGGAGAAGCTCAAGGCTGCAGCAGACTCTTCTGTACCCATGCACACGCGGGCATCACAAAGTGGACCCGGTAGGTTTTCAGAAAAGAATACATGAAGTTGGCAGGGGGAGTGGGTGCTGGGTAGGGGAAGAATTTGAAGGAGAGAAAATGGGAGGCAGATTTAATCAAAACGTATTACATATACATGTATGAAATTTTCAAACAATAAAAACATTTTTAGAGAAAGGTAAAGAGCCTAACCTTTAACTCACGAAGGTTTTGGGGGTGACCAACAGATGTAAAACCCCCTGGCAACAAAACTCATCCATCACTCATCAGCTTAGGAAATTGATGGATCTTAAAAAACAACATAACCTCACAGAATTTAGTTTTTACTGGCAAAAGTATAAGTAAATCAATCTTTTCATTATAATATAAAAGGAGAAAGATTGTCTTAATTTTTTAAAAGAGTATATGCATAGAACCATCTTTCTCTCTAATTCTATAGGGAGATATAGGTGATAGAGCTATATACCGATATTGGTATATCAGTATACAGATGTATATCTGCAGATAAAGGTAGTTTCTCTGAGACTCTGCTTCTCTTAATAAGGAACTCTCTCAGAGCCCCCTGCCCAATGCTTTGCAATTCTACAATGCCCGTGGAGTGGCGTTGTGCCCTGGCCCTTCTCATTGTACTCAATGGATGGCTCACCCAAGCTCAGGGTCCATTCGCACTCTGTGACTGCTTAGTCTCCACTCAAGACAACCCTAGACTAAAGAGGTAAGGAATGCCCTTCTGTCTCAAACCCAAGACTCTCGATCCCCAAATAAATCCATTTAGATGTGGGATTATTAGCATTGTTAGTGACAGTGGGCACAGTTAGAACCAGTCTACAGGCCACGG